ATCCATGTATGCAGGATTTATTTCAGTCTAGTCACTACATACACACCTATTGATATTACTAGAAACTATTGAGCGTCTAAAAGTTTAAAAAATCATCCTTGTTTATCCAGTGTCTAAAAAATCTGTCGCCCTCATTTCACCATCAAATTGGAGTTTAGAAGTTGGGTTGAGTGGAAGGGGGAAAAGAAAACCCTCAGTACAATAACAAACAGTAGATAGGTCAACAAAGTATTGTGCGAGAAGCGAGCAATTCTGATCCGTCCCGATTTCGGTACACAATTCTCACTTTCATCTCGATTCTGCACGAGATAGGATCCATAAATCGAGTGAAGGCAAGGAATACTGAGTTTTACCATCAATTATTTTACCTTCAAACGGTTTTCTTTGGAAGAGTTGAGATGACTCAGTTGCCTCCAAAACGTGGTCTTCTCAATTCAACACCATACAAGATGGATGGCGAGGAGTAAAAGGAGTATCGTTGCAGAAGTTGTTAGTCTGTAAGTTCAACAAGTTAACCGAGTAGATCATCTCGCTTGATTCCATGGTGTTCAGCTGCAAAACGTAACCCAAAATCTTTTATTTGGAGGTATTTACTCGCCATCATAGACGGATAGATGGCGAGGAGTAAAAGGAGTACCGTTGCAGAAGTATGTTAGTCTGTAAGTTCATCAATTTAACCGAGTAGATCATCTCGCTTGATTCCATGGTGTTCAGCTGCAAAACGTAACCCAAAATCTATTATTTGGAGGTATTTACTCGCCATCACAGACAAGTAGCTGTATAAACGTTGATCAGATTTGCATACTTGACGAGTGGGATGGAATATCATAATAACCAATCGGAACGTTCTGATTAGGGGATTCCCCCTAGGTACTTTTTATAGCAGCAATCGTATGACTTCATCCATTAATAACGCAAGCAATGCATTCTGCATTCGCCACCGTACTCATTCAGTAACTCAAGCATGAGTCCTTAACAGACTCATTTTGGGCTAGATTATCTTTAAGGAAATGATTTTATGGTGGCCTCAAGCAACGGAAAGCTGGCTTGGAGTAAAAAGAAACTAGTACCCGAAGAAAATAGCGAAGGAAACATTTAAGATGCGGTTAAGGAATAAATATATTTTTTCAACAATCGATAATTCCATTAATGAATGTTTTTGCAACTGAACCTGCTACAGTTTTCAGTGCGCAACTTGTTATTAATGGCTAAGTCGTTTCATGATCGATGAATGCAAAACCAAGATATTTTCTATATTTTTGTCTTAAATGAAAGATTAGATCCTTCTGTTTCTCGTAAGCTATTTATTTTCTTCTTTATATATATATATATAAATGGAGCATTTTTTTTTGTTGAAAAGAAGCGGTCAAAACGGCTATACGGGACTGCTGTGATTTCCAGAAAAGACAAAACATAGCCCTTCTAGGATATACAGGGGAAGGAGAGTATATACAGCAAATCTATTTGAGTTCCCCCCTTAAGATCTTTTTCTTTCATGGCGATTTGAGAAAAAGCATCTATACTGCGATTTACAGTCACACGCGACCAACTAGACCTTCATCACAAACGAAAAATTGAATTTGGGTGGACGTCAATCAAAAGTGTTTCTATCGTTTCTATTGGTTTCTACACCAGGACTGATGTGAATACTCACGTGAACACGTGCAAATGTGCAAAAATCGTTGTCCTTATCTCATGCTTCTTGTCGCTGTGAATTTCTCACTCTGGATACATTTTCTCAAAAATGTCACAGGATTCCTGCTCCGAATCTTTTAAAACGCTTGATTGCAAAGCTACGGCTATGGCTATGATTTAAGGTTCTTCAAGATAGGATAAGTCAATACTGTTAGTTTGCAGTTAAACGTTTGAAATTCGGATTCGGAATCCTTAGACTTGTTTAAGAAACCCTTTTGATTGATGTCCACCAAAACTCAATTTTTCGTTTTTCGTGTGACTTGATCTATTTTTACATTCTTACATTTTCCGATAAAATACTATTATTTATTTACCGGCCAGGAGGTCCGGATAGGGAAAAACTGTGCCCGAGGTCTTGAATATACGGACCGRGGCCGTTAGGCCGAGGTCCGTTTTCAAGACCGAGGTCACAGTTTTTCGCTATCCGGACCGACTATAGGACGGTAAATAACTTATTTATTTTTTTCCCGTATTTTTTTACTTCTTTTTAATCGTGCAACGTTGCTGTTATTATTTGAAAAACGTCAAAGATAATGGATGGCAATATTTATTGAAAGAAAAAAATTTGCATACGTTGTAAGGGAAGTAATATCATTAAAAAAATATTTTATTCACTGAGTAATAACAATATGATCAAGTTGAAAAATTAGAAAAAGTGAAAGTAATGTATTCACATTTACAAAAAAGCCAATAACATGTCATGTCAATCAAACGATTGAGAAACCGTGCATGCGCACTGATATGGATCAAACAACAAGCACAGCAGTGCTACGATGACTTAAAAAAGAGCTTTTATCAAATTCTAATTCGTTTAAGAAATGCACAAGATCACATCAGAAAAAGCTGAACTGCAGATGGGTGCATTACATTATATCAAAGTCCATGTCTACTGCGATTCAGAGTCATCACTTTCAAGAATTCYTCGCCTTTTGGCTGGTTTTGGTGCTTGCACGTGTTGATGAACGATGTTCACAGTGAATGAGCAGCCTTCAACTCTACC